TAACTTTGAATTACAACATTTTCGTATATGCATGAAGCAACGTTGCAATTCTACCTACTCTTTATGTTCGTTAACAAAAAAAAAAAAAAAAAAAGGGGAAGAAAAACCTGTTCATTATGGATTCAATTTGAGCGATCGAGATGGACTAAGAATCCGATACGATCCATAACCAGCCTCGTTATTACTGAAATTCTGGCGGCGAGGACTGCGAAGGACTAAGAGACTGTATCCCTTAGCAAAGGTGCAAAGAGGAGTATTGATTTCTTCTCCACTGTCCATCTCCGCCAGAACTTTGTAGAACAAATCCACATCGCAAGGAAGCAAGATGGGACCTTCGCTGCTAAACCCATATTCCGTTTCCGCGTCTTCTAGCAACATCTGGAATAACGGATGGTTTGCGAACTCCGCCTTAACGACAAACCTCTGCCTTTCCGGTCCCACGTAGACCGAAAAACAACCTTCTGGTGCCACGGCCTGACGCTTCTTTTTCTGTTCCGATAATGATCTCGTGTCAGTTCCGTGCCATGACTTGCTCTTCGTCAGGACATTAGACTTCCTCTTCTGGAATGAACAGCATTTCTCCCATACTCTGGATATCATGTTTTTCTTCCATTTTATCTTCATAACATCCATCCTCGACCCTTCCCTGTTTCCGATCAAAATTTTACCTAAACTCGAAACTAAAGTCTAGTTTAGTTGGAGCAAGTTTTTAACTACCAAGAGGAAAAGAAAGCTAAAGGACAAGACAGCGATATATAGAGAAAGAAAAAAAAATGTTAAATTACTACTAATATATAAGAAGAGCAGAAGAAGACAGCACGAGATGAGCTTGTCTGGACAATCTCTGCGCAGGAGAGGCGGCACTGCCCCATATGTATTCTCCCAATAATACTGAGTTTGTCAACGCACCAACGCTAGTTGCTGGATTTTGAAAATGATTTTTAAAACATGGTCAAATAAAATGACAAGGGAGAGAGGGCCACTTCATTTTGCCTAGTCCTAGTGGGCAAAAGGATAAGTGGGAAAAAATTAATAAATAAAAAAAAAAAGATTAAGAGGGAAAGATATGCGTGAGGGGCTTAATCTGGGAAAGAGCCAAGCGGAAGCCTTTTTTGGTGTGGTTTCTGTTGCTTGCTGGCGTTAGTTGATATATATTAGCATTTGATTTAG